AAAGAAGAGGATCTGGCAGATTTGGGTTCTTAGCTTCTATCCTCTCTGAGCTGTAAAAGAGTAACTGCAAAGCTGCTTCCAAACAAAACCATGATTATTTGCCAAAAGGAATGTAGCACATAGAGAAATGCCTTAAATGACAGAATGCTACTTTTGCTGTTATTAGGCAGAACTTTAATTCAGGTAGGTCCAGTGTATTTCAGATCATTTTTCAACTCTGAGAGCTACAAGAATGTCTGGTTACATCACATGAATCCCACTCACGATGAGACCACGCTGGAAGGAGTTGCACTTTTAGGACCAGGAGTTTGCCTAATTTCTAAGCATGTGACATTGTTAACAGAGCCTTCTTGTGTGCTAGCCTTAGTCTGCAGACAATGTTGCTTCCCTTCTGTCGTTGCTGGGTGAGCTGGCCAGGAGAAAAACTTAAGCATTAGCATATCTTATTAGACATCAGAGAGTCAGTGTGGAGTGACATACTGCAAATGCCTCAAGCCCAGGGTAAGCTTCAGTCAGAGCTTAGACATCTGGAAGCTCAGCTGTAGACAGTGAAGCCCACAGAAATGGAGGTTTCTGTTTTTCTACTCAGAAATGGCTTGAAGTTTTGCCTTTTCTACTTTGTTCAGTTAACAGTTCTTACAGATTACAAGTCATATACAAGAAAGCAGGTTATGCAAAGCGCTTGTGAAAATAACAGTGTTATCCATACTGTGTGCTTGACTCTTCAATGGTGGTGAACGGTCGCACCTGGAAGGTGACGGCCTCAGTCATTCCTCTTTTAGGGGACAGATTTTACCATTTCAGATACCAGCTGCAGGAGCAAATACATTAGGAATTAAGGTTGTAACAGTTTCACTGTTTCCATTGAATCTCTTGTTTGCTTCTTGTTGTTTCTTCATTTTAACCTAAATTCAGTTTTCATGTTTATGAATGCATTCAGTTGAATACACTGATTTAAAAAAGCTATTGTTTGTTGAGAAGATATGAGTATAAGCAGCAATGAATGGTTGCATGCACTTCCCGTAAAATATGTGACCATGCATACAGCCATAATGCAAATGGAGAATAAATGTGTCGGCACCAGGTTATATATAAGATCATTCATTTATCCACCTGTGTATTCCCTTGAGTCCCATGGTCTAGTCATAGGCATAAACTGTAGCGTAAAGCTGTTTTCTACACAGATAATGTATCATTGCTAATTGATGTATGACATTAATGTCATCACAGGGAGAATAATGGATGCAACAGTTAAAGCTACATTCCTTGAAAATTCTTCCAAAATTAGATCTAAATGAGAAAATGCTGATGACTGAAATATTCTCAGGGAAGGGAGTCCTCTTCATTAAACTGTTCTGGGAGATAAAACTTGTTCTTCATCCAGTAAATCAGGTGTGGATTTCCTTCTACCATAAAGCATTTTTGTGAGCGTCATGTTTTCATATCCATCACAAAATCATTGAACCTACACCCTTCAATATGGATTGGGGTGAGTCTGGACATACGGCCCTCCCAGGACTTGTGATAAGATATCTGGTTGTGTCAGACTTAGTTCCAGGATTTTTCTGCAAACTTACACTTCCAAAATATTACTTATCTAAAAATTAAAAATTATTCATTATCTGCAAAAGCTACCATTTCTGTATATTTGCGGTATACCTAATGAATCTTTCAAAGCAATTCCACTTTCTACACCTGTCTATTTCCCCCCAGACGTGCAGAGCAATTAGAGCAGAATATGGGCTAATCCACCCCCAGGTCTGAATTTCATCACTAGAAAGTATTATGACCAATGCAAGTTCAAAGTAAAATCCTTGTGAACATAGATTTGGTATAGTATGTTCAATAGCTGTTTGGACATCCTTGTATTGTAGGGGAATATTCATAGCCGTGTGGTGTCTGTTTTCGGATGCTGTGAAAATAAGCTTTGCCCAGCGGAGCACAGCTGGGCTACGGAACCAACCAGCTGGAATTGTGAAATGAAACTTTTAGTCCTAACTAGTGTTTATGTAAAGAGCTGTAGCGGCTTTGGTGAGAAATCTAGAGTGCTGAATTTGACGACTGTCTGTTGAGATCTGTAGGTGTGGAGAAAGATGATAACAGAGCCTTCGTCTTTTCTTTAAGTGCAGTGCTTGTCACTCGGATGAAAGTATTTCTCAGGTTGCAGTAAACACATAAAGAGAATGAAACCAAACAATTTGGCAGATGTTACTCTGTACCTTCACAGAAAACAAATCTTTGGGTGCAAAGAGTCCATATTAGAGCTCGATGCTGTACAGGTCTGGGGAACTGCAGGGTGCATTCTTCACCTGGTGTTCAGGGATAAGGTGCCCATCTTTACATCCCTGTGTGGAATATGAGCCAGCCTCCCTCTCCGTCTGCTGGGGAGGGGAGCAGGCTCACTGTCCTCTCTCCCGTGCTCCTCAGCATGACACAGTATTTGGCCTGCCCTGACCATCCAGCAGGCCTAGGTTGCAAGCTTTGTGGCATTTTTTTTCTTCTCCAGTGTTTGCTTTCACTGTGAGGCCTAAAAGAGGACCTGTCATAATATTCTTCCATCTAAGTAGCTTCATTTTCTGGAGACTTTCTGAAAAAACAAATTTTTACTGTGGCTGAAAATTATTTGCGGTGAAAACTGTATACATCCTGAGATGACAGAGAAAGGAATTCATGTCCTCTCTTCTTTTTCTTTTCTTTTTTTTTTAATAGCAAATGTGCTGTTGTTTGTGCACAGTGTTCAAATAGCTGAGTGGCTACTTAGAGGTGTTTTATTTTTGTAGCTACAATATCAGCTGAGTTCATTATAACTGGGTTGGACTTTTTAACATTCGACCTTTCCCAGATTAAACTTTTATTAACACTTGTCAGTTTGGAGGCCTGGCAGTCCACACAGTGACCTTTATTCTGCTGCTGTCTTAGGCAGGGTTTATCACTCTGATAGAACCTAATTATAATAGAAAAAAATAATCAGTGAGTGATGTCAGTGAGAAATGGAGAAGCAGAGTGAGAGCTTTTACTGGCCACAGTACATCTATAATGAGCTGCAGCTCTTCACTTTTCTTCACTGATGGAGGGAATGTTATTCTGCCAGCCATTATTCATTGTCAATGAGCCAGGATAATCTTTCTTAATCCCTTGGAGGAGTTGCTTTGCAATATGTTCATTCTGAACTTTAAATCACTATTTACGTAGGGCCAGATTCTGTCATGCTTTTTCCTGCCAAATAGTAGCTTCCTCTGTTAAAAATGCAATGGTAAGGACAAGAATGAAGAGAAGTAGGCTTTATGCTGGATCCTTAACTAATGAATCCAGCTATGTGAATTTTCACCTGCAGTTATTTTTCTTCATGAGCAGTGACTTAAACATTTTATTTTACTGTCAAATCCTTCCACTTACCTAGATGAGCACCAAGGCCTGTGGTCCATTTTTTTTTGAAAACTGGAGAAGGAGAAAAGCCTGCAAAATGTGCAGTTTTGTTTGTGTTCATCACAGGCTCAGCTCCTACCATTGAAACTAGGAGCCTTATGGCCGTCCCCATGCCCCTAGCATAAAAAATTCAGTGGGCTCTTCCGTGTACTGTCTCAGTGATCATGATTCTCACCAGAAATTTATATAATCAGTTAAACAAAGCATGGCCATCCTTGCCTGTGATATTTTAACAACCCTCAAACTGCGGCAAAGTCAGTACTACCCAGATAGGTCTATCTAAAATTGGCTATCCATTAAGGTCAGAATAGGTCTTACATTAGCTTATGCCAGACCATTAACACAAGGAACAAATTCTCTGCGCTTTGCATCTCTGTTTAACTCGTAAGGTCTCTTCCTTAACAGAGTGAAGAAGCTCTAGTGCATTACTAGTTTCTCATTTTCTGAAGTTATTGGTGAGTCTCCACCCCTCTTGTTTCACTCCTGGTTTATTTTTGTTTATGTGACCTGTTTGTGAGATTAAGATTTGCTGGTTCTCATCAGTTTTTCTCTATTTATATCTTCAAAGGTAGGTTTATTAAGTGACAGAGTTTGCAGGTCCAGCTTGCTATTTTCAAGTTGAGCAAGGCTGACCTTGAATCATTTTCTTTCCTTGGCTTGTTATAGTATTTCCGTTCCCATAAACCATCGCAGAGAGATTGTAAATGATAGTGTTACCGTGCAAGTTCCTGAAGAACAGCAGTAACATTGGCTATCCTAGTTCTACACTGTGTGGGACCTTTTTGTGCTGAGTATACATAATGTAGGCAGTTAAGGTATAACAGCCATAAAGAGGACGCAAGGAAGCGAGGATCTTCTAACACTTCAACTCTTCAGAGAATCACTCTGACAATAAAAAATATTATTTAATCAATTGTGCAGTAAAAGACATGGATGCTTCTACTAAGTATGGCTTCAAACAAGAGATGCAATAGAATATCAGCTTCAGGCATTTAAATCTATGCAGACACTGAAACTGAGGAAGTGTAAGAACAAATCCCTGGTATCTTTCAGAGGGTTAGTTCATAAAGTAAAGGCACTTACATGTAAATGGATTAGACTATTTTAACTACACATTTCATTCAGTTTGCCGTACAAGATGGATTCTTTAATTATAATGTTAGATCTGTGTAAACTTTACCTTTTCTATTGTTACTGCCTTTTCTTTCTTTTTGGGGTTTTTGTTTGTTTGTTTGAGGAGTTACATTGTTGTACAAGATTCTTTTCCAGTACAACAAGATAACTCTTCTTCACTTTGAATAAGCCTGTTAATTGAATGAGAGTTATGTATTCAGGTAGCTGTGTTCTTGAATTTGATTAATTGCATCCTATGCAAACCATGTCTTGTCAAGAAATTTGACCCAGTGTCCATTAAGAGCTCAGAAATTCCTGAGATAATAGTGAACTCTGGGAAAGAGCCAAGAACAAGGGAAACTGAGGGGCTTTAACTTCACGTTGGTTATTTCAATACATTTTGAACAAGAAACCCTTTTCCATATGAATAATCTAACCCTTTCATATGTTGTTAATTTTAGTTGATGAAGGAGTTTCCTCTGCTCAGCATGTTCAACATCCATGAAAACCTACTAGAGGCTTTGTTGGAACTGCAGGCGTATGCAGATGTCCAGGCAGTCTTAGCAAAGTATGATGGTAAGTTCATATACATTTTCTTTATATGGTACACACAGAAGCAAAGTTTATAAGTCAAACTCTTAAAATTTAGGAAACGGAATCACAGAATCACAGAATGGTAGGGGTTGGAAGGGACCTCTGTGGGTCATCTAGTCCAACCCTCCTGCCGAAGCAGGGTCACCTACAGTAG